GAAAAAGAAATAATTTTTTATCTTATTTTTTTTTAAAAAAAAGTAATTTTTACGGGGGGAAAAATGTAATTCCCCCCCCCCCCCCCCCCCCTTTAAATCTAGGACACTGGGATAGATTTTCCCTAACAAAACCTGCAACTCTTGACAGAATCATTAGGGTGCCTCTACTTACTGATATGGTAAGTACATAGTACTATCAAGAATAGGAGTGAGAAACGGAGCTACTAACATTTATTTTCATATGTGATCAGCATTGGAAAAACCAGTTTTATTATAATCCCTTACCATTTTAATTGAGTTATCCAGTTATTTAAAATCTGCTTATTTCTAAAATTACACTTTTTACGTTTAAAAAGTCTGTAGATTTTGGATACTAACAGTGTTAAATTTAGTCATATCTTAAGGAAACTGTTCTTTTTCATGTATGATATGGAAAGATTATTTGTTTGTAAGGTCTAGCAAAAGAAGCTCTTACCTTTTCTTGTATTAGAATTAAAGTAAGTATGATCATTGCACTTGATGCTTTTATACTTACTTGCCTGTGGCATCTAAAAATTAGTCTGGGTGAGGTATTCCAAGCGTGGAATCTCTTGGTTGTCCGCTGGTAATACCAAACTGAGAAAACCTCTGGACGGTAAATGTTTTCATATTGCAAGGTTAGAAATAATCCAATCAATGTAATTTTATATTTTTATAATGAGTTTTTATGCAATTGATACATATTAATTAGATTTCTTATTTTAATTAGAATCAGTCGGATTTGTCAGATGAAGAGCTCAATGATGATCTTTTACAGAGTGATAATGAAGATGAAGAAAATTTCAGGTATTCATTATTAACTCATTAAAAATGTTCTTTAAATTTTTAAGAACTGTTTGTAATTTGTAATAATAATGGAATATAATTGAATAATATATTCTATCTTTAACATGTGATTGCATTCTCAGTGGGGATATCAGTATAACCTTGAGTCAAAGCCATATGTTTTCTGTAAATAGATCAGCTGTTTAAAATCAGTGTAGGTCTTGCATTTAGTGACCTCTGTGAGTTCTGTCAGTGCAGAGAGTTTAGTATGAGAGGCATGTGCTGCTTGTTTAAAGAATTGCTTTCTTTGGATTGAGGGTAGCAGCCTCTGACTCTTCGTGCTGTTGGTTGCAGTGTGATATTGCTGCCTTTGTTTTCCTTTCAGGCAGTTTTCATTCATACCTATTTACTGAATTACCATTTTGGAAATTCTTTTGGACTGTACTTTAGACGGTCTGAATATAATGAGTATCTTTCTGTTGTTGACATGTCATTTATTATTGAGCCATAGATTTGTAACAGGTTTTTTAATATAAAGTAATTTTGATGGGTAAATATATAGTTTTAAGTTATTCTACCAGTTAGATAAATTTCCCAGCTCCATTCCTTGACATCATTATTATATTTTGACCTTTTGAGTTAGGTTGCCCTTGAAATATGTTTCTGGAGTTTTTTTATCCACAGAGTCTTGAAGTCAATGTAGTATAATCAGTTTTTTGTTAGGATTGGGTGCTTAATATGTGTGAACATAGATTTATCTGCACAGTCTTGTATTTGAAGTGTTATCTTGCACCTTATTGTTTGGCATTTAGCTGTTGTAATTTAATAGGTGGGATATGATTTTTTGCAGTTTTAAAACCTCTTTGTTATGTTTCCTAGAAATTAGGAATGATTTTTTAAAGATATTTATGACTAGTATAAATTTTATTTATTTGGACACTGAAATGTATTTTCACACATATCTGTAATATTTCGGTTTTTTTTATTAAACATTAGTGTATAATTTAACCATAGATATAAAAAATGGTTCTTAAAAATTTCAATTTATTTTCTGCTTATAGAATAATAAATACTCCAAAATCTTTGCGAACAGATTCCATCCATTTCATTTTGTTAATTAGAAACCATTTGGTTTCAGTCTTGGACTTTTGCCAGTCAGATCTGCTTCCTCATCTGGTTGATTTGATTCTTTGGTCAGATAACCTGCAGCTAATGATAAGTGGAGGCGCTATATGCACTGAGTCTGTGGTATGGGCTCAGCACAACACATTGAGCTCTGCTCTATGCATTAAGAGTGTATGGCACTGACTCAGTATAGCACATGAAGCTCTTCTGTATTAAGGGTTTATGGCCCAGTGTAGCATATTGACCTTTGTTTTAACTCATTGTTGGAGTAAATGTGCATTTATCAGTAACTGGAATAACTTCACCAGTCATGGTTTAAATATTTGTAATAATTTATATAATGGTTTAGTTTTAAGCTCCACTCTCATTGAGTACCCTTCTCTATATTTTTGTCCTTTCTAGTTCTCAGGGTGTCACAGTTAGTCTGAATACCACATCTGGCATGGTTACATCATTTGAACTGTCTGACAACACTAATGACCAGTCTGGAGAACAGGAATCTGAGTATGAACAAGGAGAGGATGAACTAGTTTATCACAAATCTGATGGATCAGAATTGTATACTCAAGAGTACCCAGAAGGACAGTATGAAGGCCACGATGCTGAGCTGACAGAAGACCAAATAGAATATGTGGAAGAGCCAGAGGAGGAGCACCTTTACAATGATGAAGTGTTAGACATCGAAATCAATGAACCTTTAGATGAATTTACAGTGAGTCTTTTCTCCTTTGTATGGCCAAAGATAACATGGCTTCCCATGCATAGGTTTCTAGACTGATTTGAAATCTATTTACCTCCCTTGGGAGGGAGGGAAATTAGACCTTATTATCACTGTCTGCCAGTTTCTTTATCTGAGCTATGACAAAGTTTGTGTTGACAGCTTGTTTGGCCAGAGGTAATGCTCCTTTGTCATTCTGGAAGGCTGCAAAGAATCGTGACCTTGAGGATTGCACCCTAAGGAAGAAAACAGCTTTGTGTGGTGGAGATACACTGTCAATTGTTAGAAGTACTTAATGCAGAGCTTTTATACAGGCTTTAGAAACGATCTGATAAAGTCCTCCTAAGGTGAAAAGATTATTGACCTGCTAAAGACATCTTTAAGGTGCTAATATTCCAACGTGATTGATGTCCTGTTCATTCATCCGTTTTGTAACTGAGAGCTGTCTAAACCTGAATAAAGAAATTGGAGGTTAGTTTAGGAAATGTCACACATAATTTGTTATCTGTAATCAGGAAGCAAAGATTGTGCTGATTTTTTATTTCAGAAAGATGGTTTTGGTAGGTAGGTTTTTTTTTTTTAAGTTGAACTGTCAAGAAAGAAAAAGTTACTAGTGTAAGATTGCTCATCAGTCTTAACGATTCATCATCAAAAGAGATTTTTTTTTTTTTTTTTTTTTTTTTTTTTTTCTTTCCTTTTTATAAGTTTTTGTTTGTTTGGTTTTTTGTTTTTAAAGGTCAGGAGGAATACTTTTTCTGAGTATGTTGCTTTTTCCTTGCCTTCGTTTTTTCTGAAACTGAGGAGTGTAGTAGTAATGAGTCCAGAGAGACTTCCGCAGTCCATTCAGTACCTCATCTCCAAATTAATCTGATTAAGACACTGTTTTCATCATGTCACTTCCCACCTCAGAAACCTTCAAAGACTCCCTGTGGTTTTTTTTTTTTTTTGTCTTTTGTCTTTTTCCTTGTCCGGCAACGGATCGCAACCCTCAGTGTTGCCCCCGTACCGGACTGGGGACCGGCAACGGGATTGCAACCCTCGGCGTTGCTCCCGCACCTCACTCAGCCAGTGAGCGGGAACCGGTCTGTATGTGGGATCCGAACCCTCGGGCGGGAGCGCCGCCGCGCTTCCCAAGCGGCGCACTATCCAGTGCACCACCGGGCCGGCCCCAAGAGATTTGTTTTTTAAAGTACTTTATGAAATTTGTGAGGGGAGGACGTGACCTCAGGAGTTGCAGTAGAGTGTTGGGGTTTTCAGGAACACTAGGGTCCCATTGAGGTGGAGTGTAAATGGGGCTGCAGGGATGCGGATGGACGCATGCAGAGTTAGGACCCATTTGCAGTAGGAATAGTGCTGCTTTTCTCTGTTTACATCTTCAAAGTACCTTTCCTTTGAGAAAAAAGTTCAAAAATTGCTGAATTTTGGTCATTGATATATACATGAGTAATTCTGAAAGGGATTATTTATGTGGAACCTTAGAATATTTAGTTCCAGTCATGATTGTGTTTATGTTTCTCAATAGCTGGTTTTAAGATTTTATTCTTTTTGAATGCTTGCTCTTTAGTAAATGTAGTAATGAAAAACTGTTTGTAGTTTTGGTAAAAAGAATCAGGTAAAAGTCATCATGGGGGACTTGTTATTTTGATAACCCTTTAATGATTTGTTTTGGTAACTAATCCTTCACTAGTATGGACAGATGCCTTCTGGTTTACTAGTGTATTTATATACTGTCTTAAAGTGGGACGCTAATTTAAAAGCTTTTGAAAAATCAAACCAAGATCTTTCAAGAATATGCCTGTTTATTCTCTACTTATAGTATTTATTATTTTTACTACTCATCAGTGAAAGAAGATGACTGGCTAATTATCTCTGGGGTCCTTTTGCCCCATTAATTCAACAGTTCAGTTCAGTAGGTCTTTACGGATGTCCAAGCACTGAGGATATAAATATCACTAAATCATAAAAATCATAAAACATGAGCCCTGTCTGTGAACTTAGATAGAGTTCAGCGGGACAAATCGCAGTGTGGAAAGTCTTGTTGGAGCAAGCGTGCATGGCTACATAGGAGGGGCCTCTCACTTTGGCTTTTTGTAGAAAGGAAGGAATTTCCCTTTTTTGTATTCCATTGTCCAACTCGAGCTTACGTATAGGCCCTAGTTGTAATAAAATCCAACTTAATTATCCAAAATCTTGTGGTCTAAGATTCAGGTATTGAGAAGAAGAAACTGTGGCCATTTAATTACCCTTCCACATTAAAATGAATTGTTTTTCAGAATTAAAAAAACCTTAAAAAGTTTTTTTTACTTAGAATTTCTGAAAGCATCCAAACGTTTTCACAGAGTTGTAAACTTTAAAGGTGGGGAGAAGTAATTGAATGTCTTTCTGTAAGCAATGTCAGCTCACCTTAATACATCTAGTGTTATAGCCATGGTCATTCTTTCCTTTTTTTATAGTTATCATGATAGCGTCTGAAATGACTGCTTTGGATGGGAAGAGGTACACAAATAAACTATGAAGTACTCCCCTCTTGCTGGGCAGTGGCAGCCTCTTTCACTGTCTTTTGCCGCTGCCACTGATACACAGATTATTTATTTATTCATCATTAGACTAAGGAGCACATGAGTCGACTGTATCCCTGTGTATCCCAGTGGCATTTTAGTTTATCAAATGGTTTATTTAACTTTGGTTCCTTGGCTTAACTAGATTTTGTTAACCTGAACTCTGAAGCCAGAATTGAACTCTGAAATGTGGATCATGAGCATGGTCATTCTGTTGGAGTTCACTCATAAAGTCACATGGAGGGTTTTTGTACATAACTGGGAGTGGAATCATAAAACCACAGAGTTTACAGTTGGAAAGTACACTGTTACCTGTGAAGAAAGGAAGGTGCAAAGACGTTGAAAGAGCAGGTAGCACAACTCTGGTGTTCCTTCCTATTATACTCTGAAGTACAATGATTCTTAAGTTTGTGAATTTTGCTCATTCTGTTCCTGAGAGTGAATTGTGATTTCATTTTAAAACTTTTACTCTTGTGTTAGTAACGAGTCTGTAATGCTTATCATTCAACAAAATATTAGAAAATTGTGGGGTGTCTTATACTTCTAAGTGCAGTCAGTTCATTTAGGGCCTTTAAAATGAACATAGATTGGATTTCTTTTTTCTTTTTTTTAAAAAGATGACCGGTAAGGGGATCTTAACCCTCAACTTGGTATTGTCAGCACCACACTCTCCCAAGTGAGCTAACCAGCCGTCCCTATATAAGGATCTGAACCTGTGGCCTTGGTGTTATCAGCACCACGGTCTCCCAAGTGAGCCACAGGCTGGCCCTTAGATTGGATTTCATAAAACTTTTTTCTGTAAAAACAATTTTAGATTGACAGTTTATGTGAAGGGTGGCAGAGTTTCCCAGTGAGAATCCATTGGTGTAGGGTATACTGTATTGTATATTGGCTGAAATTTTTGGTTAGCATCCTCTGGCCTAATTTGATGTCTGAAGGTTCTGCTACCAGTGGATGATGGGTAATGAGAGGTTTTTTTGATAGGATGCTAACAATTTCTTAGTTCAGATAGTCTTGAGAGGGAGTTTTGGGAACTAAGGTGGTTTGTCACCTTAACTACAGCTGCTTTCTTTGAATGGTATGGATGAGATTGTCATATACAATAAAGTAGGTTGTTAAGTGGTTTACTCTTCGAAGGTTATCTGCCTTATAACTGTTTTACTGTTAAGTTTTAGCAAGTGGCCAGGGATGCTGGGAAGTTCACCTCCACTGAGTAGGATGAGATCTTCTTGTTACTTGTTGATAATGCCAGTTGAAGCCCTCTTTCTTCTGCAGTTGTGGTAGTCTTCTGCCAGCTTGCTTGCTTTGTTTCATATGCCTGCCGGTAGGCCCCTTACTTTTCACAGGAAGCTTGGAATCCTCTCATTCAAGGCGGGGCTTGATAGAGAAACTAAAACCAGCTTGTGATTTTCAGAAAGGTCTGGTGTTGAGTTGAATCACCCATGCTTTTGTTGTCTTACATCGCCATAAAAATGGGAAGAGCTGGGTGTGCGATTTCAGTCCCTTATTGATGCTGAGCACCTCCATGAGGGCATATACACAGTGCCTTTTTAAGATTGCCTTTCATAGTTTTGATTCAAAGAGGAGCTGTTTAACAGGGCTCCTGGAGTGTGAAGCAGAACTCCTTGTCACTGACCTTCATGATTGGGTTAGCATGATGTGCTTTGCTTGTGTTAACACACAGAGGAGGTTGTGTTCTGTTTCTGTGCTTAGTGCTTTGTGCTCAGTCAGGTAATTACCATAGAAAATTTGCTGAAATAATTAAGCATGAATTGTAAAGATGAAAAATGCTTAAAAGAAAAAATACCCAAAAGCTGTATGAGGAAAACTTGCTTTCTCTTCAGTGGCTGTCAGGATGACGAATACTTGCAGGCTTATGGTGGGCACAAGGACTGCAGGAGCTGGAGGGCTGTGTTGCTGAAGAGGAGTTAGATGAGATTACTGGTTCCCAGGGTGCTCCTGAAAATGAGGAGGTGTTTGTTCATCTTTTAAAAAGGGTCAAAAGGTTTGCTGGGGTTTTTTCCCCCCCTTAGTTTTAAAATGAGCATCTTTTAGCATTAATGAAGAGTTGGTTTATCTCTGAACTATGAATGTCCTGAAAACCTGAGCTTTCTAGGCTTCATGGGAAGTGAGCTCTGGTGCGCTGTGACTTCCAGCTAGCGTGTGCCTTTAAGTGTGGGCAGATATCTTTCAAAAACATGATGTATATCATAGTGCTTTGGAAGCAGCACTGTAATTATTTTTAATTAGTTAACATTAGTTAATTTGGACCGTTATTCAAAAAATGCGGTAGGATTCCCTGTGCTTAGATGTTGAAGAAACAAGGGTGAGCCGTCAAGGAACTCATGGCCTGATACAGGGGAGAGAAAAGATGTGAGCAAGTTCCTGTGGGGTGAAAACAGAAGAAGTAAAACCTGCCAAGAGAAACTCAGACAC